CCTAGGCCTTCAGTAGTGCTCCGTCTAAAACAATCCACTCCTCAATAACTATTTTATGGTTATAAAAGCATCTTATTACATAGAAACACAGTATAACGAGCCGTGGAGATTCCGTGCACCGAGAAGTAAGGAGATGGGGGGCGTTGTGCACGGAGAAGTGAGGAGCGCTGGGGTGTTAAACCAGGACTAAACCAAGATTGTTTGTCAGGACTGGCTCAAAGGTAGCTCGCATATACTGTCTGGTGACTGCAGACGAAAGGACCGTGCCCGGGCTGGTGCTTTGCGCTGCGCGGGGCTCAGCTCCAGACGGTGCGCCAAGCTGCGCGGGACTCAGTGCAGCTGTCGCCCCATCGCGCTCTGCGGACAGTCTCTCACTCTCTCTCTCGCTTTCTCTCAAGTCCAAGATTAGTCCTGGTGTAGTCCTGATTTAGACCTGGTTTAGTCCTGGTTCCGCTACAGATGCAGTTTGCTGCTTTGGCTGGTAATTGTTGTTGTTGTTGATAATAATAATAATAGCTATAATGATCTCTTAAGTTTATTCATAATCACTAATGACAATGTGATCTATTTTTAAATTTTACGTTATGTTATCCAGTATAATTATTTGTTTGACGTTAATAGCACACTACAAAGACTGGTGTAGACTGCATTTAAGAAAATGTTATGCCCACATTAATTATTTTCTCCACTCACTCATTATTTATTATTTTAGTACACCGCCCATCTCCACACCGCCCATCCTCAGAGCCACTGTGTATACAGCTACCATCTCCACAGCCACCGTCTCCACACCGCCCATCCTCAGAGCCACTGTGTATACAGCTACCATCTCCACAGCCACCGTCTCCACGCCGCTCATCCTCAGAGCCACCGTCTCCACGCCGCTCATCCTCAGAGCTGTCATCCCCTGAGCCACCATTGCCACCCTCCTCAGAGCCGTCATCCCAAACAAAAGCAAAAAAGAAAAAAGAGAAAATGAGAATCTGTAATGCAGGCCCACAAACATTCAAAATAGCTATTGATAACAAAGACTGGATAAAAATAAAACCTAAAGTTGGAAAACAGAAATTTAGAGCCCCATGGACCAATGTTTTTTATAATGAATTTGCCAAAATCAATTCGTGCTGTCCCCTCAAGTTCAGGTATCAACATATTCGCAAATACCAAAGTTGGAAACAAAACAGTGTTTACTTTTCTGTTAAAGCTACATGTGTGTTTGACAGCTGTCAAGCACAGTACCATTTTAACCAAAAAGTCGAACCGTCATCCTTACAAAAAAAAATTACATTCAAGGTGACAAGAACAGGACAAGTCCAGCATCCCCCAAAACAGCACAGATTTCGGCCTGCAAAATACACGAGGCGTGGGTCTATTGCCAAAGCCATAAAAAATGTGGTCAGCAATTACTACTATGCGCAACTCCAAAAATCCCGAAGAGAAGAACTATTGGCTGGAAATATAACGAGAAGCTTAAGTAAAGATGTATTAAAAACAATAAGTGCTGAGGTAAAAAAAGCACAAAGGCTCCACAGTGACATTGTTCTAGAACTTATTCTCACACAAAAAATAATAAAAGAAAGTGGAAGTCACCCCACTTCAAAGGGTTATCTGGCTCGATTGCAAATCGAGCCACTGTCCATTTACTTGGAGACAGAGTCTGGGCTCAAGATCCTATCAGAACACCTGAAAAGAGGAAAGGTGGCGTTATATTTGGATGCAACGGGTGGTGTTGTAAAAAAACTTGATGATGGTAAACGTGTTCTTTACTACGCACTAGTGTTACCTGGGATGGGAAAAAATAAACCCCCCGTTACCTGTTACTGAAATGGTCACAAACAATCACGCAGTCCCCTCCATAACCAATTGGCTCATGGAGTTTCTAAGGCATCTTTCTTTTTTCACCAAAAGAAAGATTTCCCAAATAGAAACAGATTTCAGCTGGGCCCAGATCAACAGTGTGTTGCTGGCGTTTAACAAAGAAAATATAAATTCATACCTGCAGAGAGCACATTCAGTTGTTCACCATTCTGGAAATGTAGCGTTCACTGTTATCCATCTTTGTGCAGCGCACATTATCAAAGCAGTTAGTCAGGCCCTTGGCACCAAAACCAATGACAGATCCATCCAAGAGTATGAGCTATATTGTTTTGCAGCTTTACAAAATTCATCTAACTTCAAAAGAGCACTCAGTATTTTTTATCATATGTGCATAGTGTTTCTTTCAGAAGAGGAAAATGCCATAACTAAAAAAAGTCGAAGACATTTGGAAAATTTCATAAGGGCACAGGAAATGGAGCCTGTCACCAACAGCTGTTCAGTAGTAGAAGAAGAAGAAGAGGTGGCACAAAGGAGGGTAATGGCGGATTCACCATTCACAGCTGAATTCAAGAAAAAGAAAGAACAGGCAATGGTTGTGATTTTGGCAGGGAAGAAAACAGGCAAGGCAAATGGGTACTTCTGTCCAGGTGTGGTGGACTTGCTTTTAAGAAGGTATATGGGTTTAATCCGTCTCTGGAGTGGGATCCTACTAGGTGACCTCAAAAGGTATAGTGGCTCAAATGCCAGTGGCAAATACACTGTGCATGAAAAAACAAGGGACACCAACTGTCATGTGGAGCTCTGGTTTGGGCTGGTCAAAAATAAAATTCTATTTAAAAAGGCACACTTGAGACCAGCGGAATTCATTCAATCAATGTTCACATCACTACAGGGGCGGTATGTTGAACACATTAACGAACACAGCTTACCAATACAAATTCTATACAAATCAAATCCAGAAGTTAGGCCAAAAGATGACCACCAGGAGGCCTGGAAAAAGCGAGATAAGTCAACCACTCGCAAATCTAAATATTTCAACCCCCCAGAATCACTTCCAACACCAAAAGGCTGTGCCAAGAAAACCAAGAAAGAGCCGCAAAGTGACATTGAGAAAAGAGTAAGTATACAAATGTTTATTTAGTACTGACATTTCATTTTTTTCTTTAAAAATCAAACCAAAAAATAAAAATAATGTGGAGTTGTAGTTGCACATACCATTATGTTATCACATAGTGTGACTTAAAGATTATTTCACTTAAATGTTTCTACTTTTCCACAGGTGACTTCATTGTGGAGAAGGCAGGACACTGAAGTTGTGGTGTGTGCAATCGCTGCGCAAAAATTTATTAATTTATTAATTCATTTAACCATTTTCTTATTCTTAGGTAATTGAGGCATGGATTCACCTTAATGCCAACAAAACAGAACTCATGAACAAAATATTCTTAATGGACCATTACAGGGCTGGGGTCATTCTGTTTGAGGAGCAAAGCAAGGTGGAAAGACATCTTTTGTCAGCTGTAAGTGCTTTTTGATATGAAGCATTTATGAGCGAGGGGGCAGAGATAGGAGGACAGAGTGGGACAGACAGAGGCTACAGAGCAAAAGGGGGCAGAAAGTTTGGGATACAGGGAGGAGGACAGACAGGGACAGAGAGAGTAGGACAGATAGGGAGAGAGGGAATGACATAGTGACAGAGAGAGAGTGGACAGAGAGAGGGACACAGAGAGAGGGACAGTGGAACAGAGAGAGAGGGGGCAGATGGCTAGGGAGAGAGGGACAGAGAGAGGAGGAGGCAGAGAGGGACAGAGAGAGGGAAGACAGAGGGTAATGAAGAGAGGGACAGAAAGTGGCAGAGACAGAGAGATAGACAGAGAGATAGACCGAGAGAGATGAATGGACAGAGAGGGGGACAGAAAGAGAGAGAGAGGAGAGACCGAGAAGGGTAGGGAGGGACGGACAGAGAGTGGGACAGATAGAGAGAGATGGACAGAGAGAGAGGAATTGAGTGGGAGGGACTGAGAGATGGACAGAGATAAAGAAGGGACCAAGTAAAAGGGGGAAAAGTCTGGGACACAGGGAGAGTGGAACAGAGAGAGAGAGAAGGAGAAAGAATGGGACAGAAAGAGAGGGGACACAGAGAGGGATAGAGAGAGAAGGGAGACAGAGAGTGGAAGAGATAGCAGGAGATGGACAGAAAGGGAGATCAAGAGAGAGGATGGGACAGAGGGGGGTCAGAGAGAGAGAGATGGGGGTGGGTGGGGTGGGGGGCTGGCTTCTCCTATTCATAATATAGAGCCTGGCTCCAAATTCGCCCCTATAACCATTCATGGGAGTGGTGCTGAACTCTATGAGTGACATCACACTCGCTTTGTCCACTTTTTTATACAGTCTATTCCTGGAACACAGTGAGTGTGGGGACAGAGAGAGAGGGAGAGTGTCGGACAGAGACAGTGACAACAAGAATGGGACAGAGAAAAAGGGAGGTAGAGTGAGGAACGGACAGAGAGGGAGAGAGAGTGGGACACACAGTGGGTCAGAGAGAGGGAGGTAGAGTGTGGAACATGGAGAGAGAGAGAGGGAAGTAAAGTGAAACTGTTCCTGTGGACTGAGAGAGTGGGACAGGAAGTGGGAAGAGAAAAACAGAGACAAAGTGGTACAGCTCCTTATGTCTTTATATTTACAGGTAAATCTGGGGCTATGAAGCTGTGTTGTCAGCTGTGCTTGTAAACAATAACCACTGGAACCTTCTGGTTTGTTTGTATTACAAGACTAAATACAATTTTATTCTTAGTTACAATTACAATAACACATTTCCTCTTTCAGTTTATCCATGTGCGCCAAGAGAAGGTTTTTTTGATTGACCCCTTCAGAAACACCAAGGAGCTGGAGTCTTCAGAAAAAGCAGCCAAGAAATTAAAGTAACTAACTTTTACTAATGTAATCAAGCATATGTCAAAAAATGATATAACAAATGTATGTACAGGATGTACCTGAAAAACAAGAGGAATGAGTGGAGAACTATAAACTGGGAAGGTGGGGTATTACAACACCCTCACCAAATGGATGGATGTAGCTGTGGAGTCATTGTGGCAAACGTAACATGTAGGCTGTTATACAGGTCCTCTGACAATGTGGATCACTCAATTGTTAAAAATGCAATTCATTTTTAGATGGCAAAAGAAATAATAGATTGCTTCCCCAATACACCGGAGTTTAATTTTCCAACAAATAAAGCAATGATGGCAAGAGAGAGGACAACAATGGCTGTAGAATTGCTGCAGAGGTCAGGTAGGCAATATATGGCAAATAAAAAGGGATAGCTATACATTTAATTTATTAGATTGTTATTTTTTTCAGGCCAGAGAAGTTCATTTGGTATTGCAAAAATGTATTTTATTAGGTTCTTTATTCATTATTTCATACCTGACAGTTTAGACTGCTCACTAGCGCTCTTCTTCAGAGCGGTCACATAATGTTGACGTGTCCAGTCAGCTGATTTAAACTGTCATGTATGAAAACAAACTCCTGGTCTGAAAAAAGAATCTAATAAAATACATTTATGGAAGACAAAACCTTGTTGGACTGGTTAGCTGTAGAGTTTGTGAACTAATGATAAAAATGTATCTTTTTTTAGTCTTTGATACAAACACACATTGTGTGATGTGTGCACGAAAGAAAGCACCAAAATGTCCTGGTTGGTGTCCTGCAGGTTGGGTGAGAATGATGTATTACAGTTTACATAACAAAAGCCTTATAGTAAGGACAATACAGCACATTGTAACTTTTTTTTCTGTTCCTAATGACAGATCCAGTGTGATGATTGCGATTGCTGGTTCCACGGAGAGTGTGTGGGGATGTGTCGGACAGACATAATAAGAGCAAAAGACGTCCCATGGAAATGTGTTGTCTGTGACTGAGGAGATGTTGACACATACTAACGCGCTGTCTGAGGCGATCCCAGTGGCACTACATGTAATTCTGTTTACCGTATTTTTCAGACTATAAGTCGCTCCAGAGTATAAGTCGCACCAGCCAAAAAATGCCTAATGCAGAAGAAAAAACATATATAAGTCGCACAGGACTATAAGTATGCACTATTTGGGGGAAATTTATTCTATAAAATCAGAAACCGACATTTCATCTTGAAAGGCAAGTTATAGTAATAACAAAAGAATAGAGAACAGCAGGCTGAATGGGTGTCTGCTATGTCAACATAACATAACAGTTTGTCAGATAACTAAGTAGGGACAGTGTGAAAATGACCTGAATGTTTGTTGATGTTATGATTATCATTTCTTCAGAGTAAAAAAAAAGAAAGGAAAAAAAAAGCTTGAACATGTCTGTTTTATCTATGAAAGAAATCTCTAAAAATCTCACAAAGCGTTAATTCGGAAAAACCAAAAGGTGTAACTTGGTTTGGAGTTGGTAGGTCATCTGCTTTAGAAGCTATTGAAAAAAAAGACAGATCTTTAAGGGAAAAATTCCTAAAAATCCCACAAAGGGTTAAATTGGAAAACCAAAAGGTGTGCGTGATACCCGAGGAGTAGGACTACTATAATAACTTGGTTTGGCGTTTTTAGATTAATTGACCTGGAAGATATTGAAAAAATGCATTAACTAATTAACCCTCAAAATACATAAAAATAACAAATATTTTATAAAACGTACATGCATAATCCCTTTTTTGTTTCTTTTTATTTGATTCCCTTTTTCTTTTTTTTTAATTTAATTTATTTTATTATTATTATTATTTTTTTTTTTTAGCAGACTCCATTCAATGCAACTGGTAATTTATTGACGGTCCCAAACCTGCGGACTCAGCGGAGCTTTGGTGTACAGCTCCCCGCACCGTGATCGAGCAAGCGGGGCACAGGCAATGAACATCTCCGCTGTTGATGCGTCACTGAAAATCTAACGTCTGACGTGAAACTAACTTCACCACAGTGAAAACTGGGACATTTTCTCAATTTTTCAAGATTTTGTCACAGTTCTTATCTCCAGCAGAGCCCAAAGGAATTCGTCACTCGCATGTCTCCAAATGTCTGCCAGTTTTGTGACATAAGTGTAAATAGAGCCTGTTTATTTAAACTTTACATTTATTTAACTTAAATGACTGTGAAGTCTGATCTTACATTCATGTACGCTCTAAAGTGTGTTGGGAAGTGCAAATCATCACATGAATGGATCATATTGAATTCACTTTTAAAATGTGATTTATGGGGGTTACATTCTAAATCTGAATGGGCTACACAGCATCTTAGATAGACAAAAAAAAAAGAATAAATCTGAAATCAAATGGTAGAACTGCAATTTTTAAATGTTTAATGTTGTAGACAAACTTGTGTAGGACCTGCTCTTACATGGCATGTTTTATTGTAGATTTCTCTTTGATATTTGGGCTGGTTGGGACCTGATGAGTGCAAATACAAATAATTATATTTGTATTCTATTTTTATATTGATATGTCCACATTTGCAAAAAAAATTGTATAAAGTGAGTGAAAAACCCAAAATGTGTTGGACATATATGTCCACATACATGGACACCAGGTCCTCGGAGGCTACTTAGACTTTACAAATTAATTTTAAAATAGTATAAATTGATAAAACAATGTTCCTCCACATTTCCTTTATATTACACCTGACTGATCCATCCAAAGCATGGTCCACAGTCACATGACTGTGTCCCTCTAAAGCCTGGTGTCCACTGTATGACGTTTGGAAACGTGTGTCCATCTATGACCAAAGATTTCTGATCATGCGTAAAACCTTGAGTCTTAGCTGAAATGGTGGCTCATAGATGTCAGAGTGAGACAGGGAAAATGATTAAACTTTAAATTGTTGTATGCTCAAAGACGAGCTGTGACTGATACAAGCCTGTTTGATATTTTAGAATCTCCTCTGTCTGCATCTGTGATCAGTCTGTGTAATCGACAGTAAAATCAAGTGCTCCTCAGAGGAGCTCAGCCGTGAACACGACCATCTCTCACTGTTTCTATATCATTTCCTGTCTTTTACTAACAAAAACACCACTAGCAACTGTCTGGATTAAAAAAGGAACAGAACCCGCCGGAAGTTGTCATCACATGTTTCCAAACGTCTTCCTGGTTTGTGACATAGGCGTGAATAGAACCGATAGTTCTCAGTAAAAGCTGTATTTGAAGTGTTGTGGCTCGTATCTGGAGACACACAGGTTAAATTCATGACATTTTAAAATCAGAAGCTGACCTGACCTGAAGTTTAATCCAGGTGACCAGATGTCCCTGTTTCCTTGGGACAGTCCCAGTTTTGAGCCCTGTGTCCCTGTCCCAACAGATTTATCCAAAACTAGTGATTTGTCTCAGTTTTACACAAGAAATGTCCCAGGTGTCCCTATTCTTGACCAATCTGAAACCTGCCAGCAGCAAAGAGAGACATACATTGTCATTTGTTTCAGTAAAAGCTGCTTAAAAATGACCAGAACACAAAGAAAATGTGACAATAGTGACTCACATTAGTGCTAAGTGCACAACAGTTTTCCTTAATTTGCACTCATGTCACAGTTTTATTATTACCAACCACCACAGACCAGGGACATCCCAGTTTTTTGGGCTTTTTTGTTTAGTTTTTTTATCTGGTCACCCTAGTAGAGCCAGGATGAAGACTAAACTCACCAATATCAGCACGCCTATGAAAGAGACATTATCTGAACTCTGTGGATCTTATGCATTATCCTAAATATAAACAGATTTTGGAATTCATATTGATGAACAAAGAACCTGCTAACAATTTGATATGAAAAGAACATTACCAGTACAGCCCTTTGACTTTACATGGAGTCTGACTGTTGAAATATAAAGCAGAACTCATACAAACACAAGCCAAATGGTGGAGGATTCATTCTGTGGGGGAAGCGGAGCGTTTAGTTTAGTTTATTTAATGAGACAGGGCACAATCTACATGAACCTCAACAGGAGAGATGCTTTGTACCAAGTTCTAGCACCAGTGCTCATTTTCACATGTCAAACACACAAAGAGAATGTTTTTATGAAGTCTGGAACATAATCTGAGCAACAATTCTTTATCCTCATGCACACGCAGTTCTATCAGCACCAAAACATCAGCATCATATCAATCAGCATCATATCATCATTCAATTCAGTCACTCCAGAACATCACGCTCTCTCCAGACACTCATCAGTCCACATTATGGGTTTGGTTTGGTTTGAAAGGAGCCAGTGTTTCCCCAGGCATGAGAACGAGCTGTAGTTTGTCCATGTGATCAGTGCTGTTGGTAACATGTTCCACTAACAAACGGCCGCATGTGAAAACGTTGAGTTTCCAAATGCCATCCTGCGTTTGTTTCTCTGAGCTCTGAAACCACCTCCCGAGCTGCTCGATCCACTGTGCAGGATCCACAAACTGTTTTAGTGGAGGAGCAGTAGTATCATGGACAGTGTTGGGAAGGTTACTTGTAAAATATATTCTCTTACAGATTAATTGATTTGCTGTAGAGTAGCAAAGACTGGGATATCTCAAGATGTTTTGTCTGCTAAAAGAAAATGAAGAGCCCAATCTCTGCTTAACCAAATAAAAAATATTATTGATAGAGGAAGAGACATGGTCCATGCAGCATGATTTAGTCCTGTAAAATCTTGTTTGAGACATGGTTTAGTCCTGGTTTAGACCTGGTTTAGACCTGGTTTGGACCTGCGTTTAGTCCTGGTTTAGACCTAATTTAGACCTGGTTTTAGACCAGGTTTAGACCTGGTTCAGACCAGGTTTTAGACCTGCTTTAGATCTGGTTTAGACCTGGTTTGGACCTGGTTTAGACCGTGTTTAGACCTGCTTTTAGACCAGGTTTAGACCTGGTTCAGACCAGGTTTTAGACCTGCTTTAGATCTGGTTTAGACCTGGTTTGGACCTGGATTAGACCTCGTTTAGACCTGGTTTAGATCTAGTTTAGACCTGGTTTTAGACCTGGTTTAGACCGTGTTTAAACCTGGTGTTAGACCAGGTTTAAACCTGGTTTTAGACCTGGTTTAGACCTGGTTTTAGACCTGGTTTAGACCTGGTTTTAGACCTGGTTTAGACCTGGTTTTAGACCTGGTTTAGACCTGGGTTTAGACCTAGTTCAGACCAGGTTTTAGACCTAGTTTAGACCTGGGTTTAGACCTGGTTTAGACCGTGTTTAGACCTGGTTTTAGACCTGGTTTAGACCTGGTTCAGACCTAGTTCAGACCTGGTTTTAGACCTGGTTTAGTGACCAGCAATGAGTGGAATTACCGAAACAAAAAAATAATCAATTTATTTCAACCAAGTAACTGTAATTACCACTCACTGAAACAGTAACTGTAACTGAATACAGTTACTCATAATTTGTACTCTGATTACATAACTCCGGTACATGTAATCTGTTACTCCCCAACACTGATCATGGATGATTTTAAACAGCAGACAAATATTTGCAAACCTGATCAGGTTTTCAAAACTTAAAATGCTGTTTCACAAGAACATGACAGTGGTGGAATAGTCGACTTTTCTTGTCATGGGTCTTGAGAGGTTTTATATAATGATTCTAGAGCCTCAGAGCTGATTTACAAACCTGGGTCCTACTTGTAATGAAGTTTAAAAAAAAATAAAAGTGTGTTTACTATTATTGCATTTAGACAAACACCTGAAGCTTCAGTCGTCAGGGAGTTTCTGATCTTTCTGAAATGGGCCATGTTGAATTTTATAATGTTTGTTAACTTTTTAATGTGCTTTTTAAAACATAAATTTGTTTCCAGAACAATTCCTGGATATTTCACCTTTATTTATTCTACAAGTTCCCGTGAGATTGGGCTGACACATTCAAATAGAATCACATATGACTCACAAGGTGCAACCTGAATAATGTGGATGTGTGCAGGGACAGGTCCTGCCCAAACCCTACTGTAAACATACACTACATCCTAAGTCATAT